TTCCAAGGCAGCCCGAAAGTCAATGTCACGCAAGAGTATTTACTATTTAGGGTGTAACGAAATTATCCGGACAACTTCGCCATATCTGTTCGCACAGTTTCTTTTCTGATGTTAGAAGCGGGAATACTGGCGTCTGGCTGTATAGTGTATGAGTGCCTCCGGTATCGGCTCTCAACTCAGCAAAGACCTACCTTTGCCAGATGTTCTTGCTCTGAGTAATTAGTCGAGTCACCGACAGGTTCATTTGATAGTTTTCGTCTAAGGCAATGGAGAAAAAGGAGCACACTCTCTCCTTTTGTATTAAAGAAGCATGCTTGTGCATGGCGGCAATGAGCCTGAAGCTGGTCTGCCAGCAGCTGGACATCAGCAGCAGCCAACTGCACATCTGCCTAAGGCGTAATAAGCTGGGACTTGATTGGTGAACTCAGCCCGGCTGCGAGCGCAAAAGCCACCCTTTACCAACGCAGATTAACTTGAATTCAAGACCGATAAAAGGGCCCACATCATGACTCACCGCTATCCGCCCTTACCTTTGTTCTTCTAACCAGTAGCGGTGGAACACCTTCAATTAAGGGGGAGGGGCACTGCCGACTTTTGGTCTCATTCTTTTCATGCAACGCCCATAGGGCTAATGTTGAAATGCCAAAATCAAAGGGGGCACGGTGCCCCAGTGCCCTCCCCGTTCCGCCGCCTATGCTTCTGCCCATCAAACTGAAAAAAGACAACGAAATTGACGGGAAAATAGCCAGTGCACCACCTTTGGCCTCACGCCAAGACGCATCCACTGGTCGAAGAAAGATATGAGCAAGGTGGTGTGGTGAAATGGGTAGCTATTCGCGCTGTATTGTCCTTTGGACCGTCAAAGTGGCCTTGGGCTGCTGCCAGTAACTCAAACGTCCCGGCGGTCCCGGCCGTCACCAGCGTCAAACATCCGGCCAAGATCCAGATCTGGAGCATATTCAGCTGCTATGCGATGTTCCAGGTGTGCATTGTCTCACAGAAGACCGCAATCAGTGACGAGTAATGAGTATTACCGGAGCAACATCCTGTCAGACAAATACAGGGCCTCCTCTAACATACCCACTGGGTGGGCAAATGCCTACCCAATCACCACAATTGCCCACCCAGTGGCGTCGATTTGCCCACCCAGAAGCAAATGCAAAAATAAAGGTCCGGCCAGACGTCCGGTAGGAACTACCACTTCGGTTTCCCGGGAAAAAAACTTGCTAGCAGCCAGTGCCCCAACCCCCAATCACTGCAGTGCAAGTTATTTTTTTTTTACAATGGATGCATCTGAATGCATGGGCGGTAGCAGACTTGGCGTTTGGGGGTGGGGGCAACTTGGCAACTTTGCCAACCCTCGGAGGGGGGGGGGCGGTGCTAGCTTACAGGGGCCCATGGCCATAGCGGCCTCAAAGGCCCGTATGGAACCCCAGAGGCCGATGTGGGCTCTCAGAGGCCAGTGCGTGACGCCTAAAGGTGTAAGCCATGGGTCCCCAGCCACACAACAAAATAGGGCCATCAGAGACCTTATAGGCTGATTGGGGACTAAATAGGGCCTCAATTTGGAGCCATCAGAGGTTAATGTGGGCCTCAGATGTCAGTGTGAGGCCCTTATAAGACTGGCATTGGGCCTCAGACACCGGCATCGATCCTTCAGAAGCCAGTACGGGGCCCTCAGAGGCACAAAAGGGTCAGTCTTGGATCTCAGAGGCAGAAAATGGGCCATCAGAAACCGGTGTGGGACCTTTAGAGGTCGGTTTGTGCCCTCAAAGGCCAGTTTAAGGCCCTCAGAGACCAGTACAGGGCCTGAAAATGGCAGTTTGAGGCCATCAGAGGCCGACTTAGGCTCTCAAAGGCTAATGCGGGTCCTTGAGGCAAGGATGGGACCCTCAGGGGTCAGTGTGGCACCCTAAAAGACAGGCTTGGGCTGGTGTTGGACTCCAGAGTCCAGAAAAGGCCAAGTTGAGCCCTCAGAGCCGATGCAGGTCCTTAACCCGGCAGTTGCTGGGGTATTTCGCCACAAACCGTTTGCTGGGGGGGGGGGCGTTAAACGCCCCCAGCCGATAACTCGAGAACCAATAGGCGCAGCGAAACGCACGAGGCGGCAAACGAAAGAACGCGACGAGACGCTTCAGATGAGTACTTTAAGTTGAATTTTGAGGTCACAGGTCGGGTCAAGGTCAGGTCAAACACCTGAAATCGGACTTTCAGTAGCATGGACTTCAGGACTTCACAATGGGCGCCTCTCGTCATAAACTCTGTCAAAACGGTGCACAATCCATCATATAAGGTCTACAAGAGTGACAGCTCCATGTAGGGGTCAGTCAAGAATAGGTCAGGGTCAAGATCAGGTCAACCGGGTGGGCACATATCCCCGAAAATCAAAACTGATATTCGCAGCCTGTGACGCATGTTTTATGGGTAATTTGGGGCGTAGAACACGATGGTGACATTCATTTGATCATATGTGTACGTGTTTGACTAAAAAAGTTCAATTTAAGAAATGCATGTATCATGGTCGTGAAGTAGTCACGAGAAATTGCCAAGATTCAGTTCAAGATTTTGGAAAATGCGGAACGATAATCAATAATCGAAGATAACCATTTGATTGTTCATGGTATTAGCAGTCTAATGGCGTTTACGGCATGTCTGTATGTCTATTCTGTGATTTTATATGATTTTTTGAACATATAAAGTTTTTGGTCGAAAACCAAGAAATCATGACGTCACTGAAACCTCGATATCTCAAAAAATTTCCGGCCGATTTTTTTTTTGAAATTTTGTCACAATAACCGTCAATCAATTCCATACAGGTATCCAAAATTTGGCGCGCCTGCGGCGCGCCGTTTTTTTTTTTTTTGCTATGGCCCAGCGAAAAAAGTGGGGGCGTTTAACGCCCCCCCCCCAGCAACTCGGGGGGTAACCCTCGCCCGTATAGGGGGGGAGTCGAACGGACCCCCCTCGATTTTTTGCGAATAACTCGCGTAAAAAGCGGCCGATCGCGACGAAACATTCAGTACCCTCGCGTTGATCAATTATACACCTACCCTGCAAATTTCATGACCCTGACCTTAATGACCTTTGACCTGTGACCTACTTTTTGAGACCATGTTTGGCCGGAATCGCGATTCGGTGTGTCGGCTCGCATTAGCCACGCGTATGCAGTCTTTTCGTGGTTTCAAACGTTCAAACATGGGATATGATGTTGCTCCCATGCATTAGGGTGGGTGTCAAGGTCACTTGAATTTTAGGTCAGGTCATGTACAGTGGATCTAGTAAGGATCTCCAGACGTAACTAGATGGCGTTGAGCCTTAGTCGAGTCCATGTCAAATTCAAGGAGAGGTCACTACCGAGCTGGCCGGTTGGAAGGTGGGCTAGGGGGGGGGGGGGGGGGTGGCGAGGTCACGGTGCGGGTGACCTGTCAAACAGCCCCGGCGCGGTTGGGCACTGCCGCAGGCAAATGACGCACTCCAGCCGGCCTGTTCCATATCGCGGTGGTGGGCCCGGCGCGGCGGCCGGTAGCGTGGCCGCTTGGAAGGGAACTGGGAAGGATGATGAGGCGTGGGTTTACTAAGGCCGGTTTATCTATTGTCAACTACAACTAACTATGATGCACTCAAATAAATGCATATGTGATGTTGGCAATGCAGCTGACAATGGAATGCTAGCGAATGCTGCGAGCGTCCAGTAGCTCTAAGGATTAAGGTTATTCGTATCTCCTGAAATTTTCAATTGATATAATTAAAGCACACCCATTCTCGAAATTCGTATATGCATGGACGGAAGTAAAGTCCGTGTTTAGAGGGACGTCCACGTTTTTCGGTGTCACGCCGTTGCCGTTGAATTTTCGACGATGCCCTCTTGACATGACAACCAGCGAAGTTGCCCGCTTGTTACTAGCCCGATTCTGTGCCGAAATAGACGTGTTTAAGGGTAGAGAATTCGACCGACATACATGGACCAAAAAAAGATGTGATAAGGGTGTTTGCATGGACAGTGGGCGGAGCCTAATTTCTCTATGAGTTATTTTCATATATCCATGGACTTGTGGGCGGAGCTTAACACAGTCCATGTAAGCACGGTTTTATTCGCTTACTCGATTCGAAAGCATGAACCCGTCCTAATATCACCTTTAATCGTGTTTTATCGCCATTAGATTGTATGTCATGCGCGTAATTAAACCCTCGCCAGACCTATTGTTTTTCTACATACCGTTGGTAAGACCCCCTCACCTTTTCGGCCCTAATAAATAACCTGAACTCATGTGACCTTTAGGAAAAATCCGAGATGTACAAGGTGTGAGGCCTCTAGATGATATTAGCCATTAGGCACTGTAAGTTTCATCTCCCTTTGAAAGCTCCTCTGGCACTGAGAGCGTTGCGAAGTTGCGACATTTTAGGACCGTGCAGATGCTCACTTATGTCGTAGGTCATTGACTTGACCTGACCTGAAAATGCGGATGATGTCACAAGATTCGGGTTGAATCAAATGTCAGGTATGCTAAGGTCTAGCTCTCTATCTTCAGCGTGTCCCGAGCTATCGTAAAAAAAAAAACAAATATAAAAGGCGCGGCGCTCCCCCCCCCTCCCTACCATTCGGCCGGCGAGCGTTAGTTAAACCGCGCCTGACAGGGAGGAGGGCTATTTAGAGCCCCTCCCCCTCCCTACACACTATACACAAACATATAAACACTAAAATGTGTGTGCAAATTTTATATAAAAAATGTGTGGAGATCTGATGATTGTTCGGAATGATGAACTCGAGTGAAGCGTGAATTGTCGGCACAGATCACCCCGTCAAAGAGCAAGAAAGTAGCTGCTAAAGAGTTAAATGAGGTCATATCACATGGGCATGAATACACTTACTATCGACTGTTCGAATTATTCAAACGTATTGCTTAAGTCTCGCTCAGCTTCCAAATTCTGCAGAACAGAAAAGATTCGGTTGATTATTGTAGCGAGATACACAGATGAGTTTTGAAATAAGAAAAAAAATGGAACGCTTCACACTATATATTATCAAATATCAGCCACGCAAGTCAGCATGAATGATCAAAGAATGATATTACCTGGCGAACTGAGGGCAAACAATTGTATAATTTTAAGCCAGCTGATAATGATTTTCTTCGCGGTGAAAAGTAATCCGCCTATGTGATTGCGTCATACCGCCGCTCGTCAGGTCCGCATGAACAGGGCCAGGCATTCGTTCGCGCGCCACCAGCGCGAGCGGACGGCGAATGCCGAGCGCATCAGTTTACATAACAACTTTGCACATGTTGAGGCGGAACAAGCAAATCCGCTGCCACAGACGAGGCATCTTTGTCACCACGCACCTTCATGAACGTAGACAATTAACAATGAGTGTATGCCTAAACCTTGAACATGAATCTCGAGCCGCAGTCAACGGCGGCAGAACGCATATTCTGGGCGGGCACGCACACGCGGCGGCTGCCGACTGTGCGCGCGCGTGGGGCGGTGACACCAGTGGACGGGCGTCTAGCGTGCGCGTGGCGGCATCGGCGCCGGTAGACGGCCGTCTTGGCGCGCGCGCGGCGGCGGCGGCGGCGGCTGTCTTGGCACGCACTCGTCGGCCAGCTGGACGGAGTCAGAGCAGCCAGATTCACCAACCGGAACTGACGGTCTTCCGACGCAGCGTCTTCGGCACGGCAAGAGACAGGCTCGTCCAGCGCCTCACTCTCCTCCGTCTGGCATCACACAGGGGTGGGGCTGGGTTAATAAAGGCTGACACGGGGAGTAGTTAGGTTTAATACCGATCTGGCAAGAGAGAGGGTAATGGGTCAAACACTGAGCTGACACAGGAGGAACGGCTGGGTCGAACACCGAGCTGACAAGGGGTGGGGGCTGGGTCAAATACCGATCTGACACGGAGAGGGGTCTGGGTAAGACATCAGGCTGACACAGAAGAGAGGTTAGATCGAACACCGAGCTGGCACGTGGGAGTAGTTAGGTCTAATACCGACCTGACACGATGGAGGGGGCCGGGTCAAACACCGAGCAAACACGGGGAGAGGGCTGGGCGAACACCGAGCTTTCAACGCATAGGCGGTTACTCGACAGGCCGAAAAGGGAATGTCAGAGTGTAAGTCACCACAGGAGCTAATGCAAAAGGTAGCTGATATTAGGAAAGATAATTACTGACAGCACGGACACGGAAAAAGGCCAAGCTAGTAGTACGAGACACTATAAAGTATCACAAATTAACCAAGAACACGTCGCTGGCGGTTCATGGTACGGCACATAATTGCCGCACAACTGCTATACGAGGCTCGGGAGACCAATGCCCCGCTAACCCTGCAGATGCACTATCAGCCAAGCCAGTTCAACAGCCATATCAGAGCGACCATGACGTACATAGCTTCCATCGGTACCCCCCCCCCCCCCACCTAGTACCCACCTGTTCAGTATAATCAGCTGAGATGTAGATCAGCGGCCGCCCTGCCCGCAGGTGCGCATCTCTGGGGCCGCGGCCGCCATCAGCTGTTGTGGTGTCCCCAAACTAGCTGCCGCCGTAGCCAAAACAAGGCTCTTGTGGGCCTCGTAGCCGGCGACCAAGATCGCCACCATGTCGTCGCGTTCGACATCGTGGGCCGCGCCGACGATGTTTCCCCGCGCACGGAGCCGGAGGCCGTAAAAGCACGGATACTCCAGCAACACGTGCGCCTAATTGTCTGCTGCTTCGCCGCAGACCAGGCAGCGGCCTGTTGGACATTCGGTGTCACTGCTGACTGCACTGGGCGCACTCGGACGTTGGCCTTCTTTCAATCCGGTGGAGATGCTGCCCCGATCATCCCCAGTGTGTCTTTTATGAAGTGTTCATTGTGTGCTCATATTGCATTGTATGTATATGACGAAGGTCGCAGAATAGCCCTGCACCAGTGGAGCGACCTTATTCGGTAAATACATACATACATACATACATACAGTGGCCCGACCAGCGCTGATAAGTGTAACAGCCTTCTCCCTGGTAGCAGCTCGGACCGGGGCGGGGGGCGCCGTGAGCTCCGCGCGCGCACTGGAGCAGAAGCGGCCCGCCGGGACCCATATGTCCCAGTCGTCTCCATCTGGTAGCGGCTTGGACCGGGGCGGGGGCGCGGTGAGCTCCGCGCGCGCACTGGAGCAGAAGCGGCCCGCCGGAACCCGTATAACCCAGTCGTCTCCATCTGGTAAGCGGAGCAGGGAGCCACCGCCGCCAAACCATCCTCCGCCGGCCCGTCCGAACAGATCCAGACGGCCTCATCCGGCAGCTCCCGGATGCATTCCTCCGCGCAGCACGGCCACTACAGATGCTGCGAGGCTGGCCCGCGGGCCCACTGCCGTCTGGACGCGCGCGCGCAACGGCGGCGCCAGCGAGCTGCTGTGTAGGCACTCGCCCGTCGGCCAGCTGGACGGAGTCAGAGCAGCCAGATTCACCAACCGGAACTGACGGTCTTCCGACGCAGCGTCTTCGGCACGGCAAGAGACAGGCTCGTCCAGCGCCTCACTCTCCTCCGTCTGGCATCACACAGGGGTGGGGCTGGGTTAATAAAGGCTGACACGGGGAGTAGTTAGGTTTAATACCGATCTGGCAAGAGAGAGGGTAATGGGTCAAACACTGAGCTGACACAGGAGGAACGGCTGGGTCGAACACCGAGCTGACAAGGGGTGGGGACTGGGTCAAATACCGATCTGACACGGGGAGGGGTCTGGGTAAGACATCAGGCTGACACAGAAGAGAGGTTAGATCGAACACCGAGCTGGCACGTGGGAGTAGTTAGGTCAAATACCGACCTGACACGGGGATTGGACTGGGTCAAAGTTTAGACGTTTCTGTCACTGGCGGTGGACCTGCGCGTCGCCCTCCCCGTCGGCGCCCACCTTCGGGACCACGGCCGTAGCCAGCTCGGCCAGCTCCAGGTCACCCTTGACATTCTATAGCTTAATCTGAACACCAGAACACACAGGTCAGGTCAATTATCAGTATTTTGAGTAAATTAATAACATTTTACCAGTTTCCCACGCATTTACTTTGATGCACCATAAGAAGCGGCGGTTGCTGTGCACTAACGTTTTCCCTGTAACTACCCCCCCCCCCCCCACACACACACAGGCCTGTACCTTCCTGCCGTCCTCTCTTTAGTTCTTGTGTGCGGGTTCCCTCGTCCGCAGCAAGCCCCCCCCCCCAGACCCGACACACCTGTATCCGATGGGCGTCCGAGCGCGAGACTGTTGGTGATGGCGACGGCGTCGCCTGTATGAGCGCGCGCGAACAGTTTTTCTCTGGAATCCCTTGTGCACTGAAGGTTCATTTTTCTGGAGGTCGCATCCTGCAACGAGGAAAAAAATGTTAAAGAATAGCAAAATCCCAAGGGATGGTGCATTACTTACCTATATGGCGGGCATCACCATACAGTTATGAAAATGCCATCAACATTTAACTGTCAAAAATGGAAATATGGCTTATGTGGCCTGCATCACTATGTTGTCATGAAAATGCCATCAAAATTCAAACATGACCATTGACCTTGAGTCTGAGTAGGCATCTTTGTACCGGGCATGAGCTGAGTTTCTGCTTAGCCTGAATACTCTGAAACTGGGCTTCAGCCTCTTGGGCTCGGCTGGGCTCTTTGACAAAAGCTTATCACATGAGCAAGTCTCTGACTGAACCGGTCAGCGGTCTCTTCAACTCAATATGCTATAAATTGAAAATTTTGATGGAAAACAACATGCAGTTCCATTGATATTTCACTTTTTTGGATCATTTACCTTTCTGTTCTCACAAACCGGAGCTGAGTTTTACATAGGCGTGGGGACAGGGGGAAAGGGGGCGACCGGAGGGCCATGCCCCCCCCCCCCACTTTCGGAGGTGGGGGGGGCAGCAATGTTAACTCCCCCCATTTTTTTGATGAACTTTTGCGCCTGTTTATACCACTCGGCACCCTGAACAGTGAACACCAAAACTTGACGATTCTTCAGGTTCGGCTTCCCTTCGAAATTCGATGAAGATTTCCTTTTTGTATCTACAGCGTTAAAGTTAATGAGCGCAAATTTCCTTCACTCAATGTAGGAAACCATATCAGAAGCAACAAAAGAGAGGTCTGTTGGCAGTATTACGTTGAATACGAGGCGAGGCGTATGATAGCAGTGAAAGAAAAGATTAGACAACAGTGGCCAGAGGACCGAAAAACCCATGCTTTGCTGCAAATAAAATAAAAATAAAATCTGCTTTGCTGAGCCGAACGCATTGAAAACTGCAGATGCTTTCATCACACTGTCATCATCATGTCTCCATCAAAAGTTACTGTCAAAAACTTATGGTGAGCATTGGAGAGATTTCTGGTGATCTCTAGGATCTACAGTCTACAGGCTTCTGCACACACTGCTAGGGGCCATGCTGGTCACTGAGGAGCCACGCTTGTCAGTGCCCTTACGCCGGTCTCTAAAAGCTCCAAGTGGTCGATCTCTGAGGATCCCACGCAGTCTTTGGAGGCTTCACGTCGGCCCCCTGGTTCTTAGGTCATTAAGGACTAAGCTGGTCCATTTTAAGCCTCAGCAGTCAGCATAGGTCTAAGAGCCTCAGGTCGCCCTAACGGAGCCAATATCGATCTCTTAGGGGCCCTTTGCTGGTTGAGAGCTGATGCCCTAAGCTTTAAGAGGTCCCAACTCGAGTTATGACACCTGCTCTGGCCCCTGATGGCTCCATGTCGTCCTCAGAGGCCTCACTCCGACCTCTGAGGTCTCATGCTGCCTTTGAAGGCCCCATACGAACAAATGAACCCACGCTGGCCTCAGGGCCCTACGAACGATGGCCTTAAGAGGCCCCTGCTGACCTCATGGAACCCAGGGAACATCTAGAAGCCTATACCGGCCTTTGAAGGCCTCGTGCCGGCCTCTAAGGGTCTTCTCCGAGGGCCCAGTTCTGCATAAGGGCTTAAAACGGCTGGCGAGGTCCTCGAGATGGCCTCTGATGGTTTCTGAGGGCTTAGCCGTCGGAGGACCGAGGAGAGCAATTAGATGCATCGAGAGTATTCCGATAGGGTTTTGGTAGAAGGGATGCAACTACCTGACATAATGACATAAATGACCGTGAATTGATCGACCTAGCGGCTGCGGAGATCTCTAAAAATAAGCCTCCAGGCTCTAAACAAGCCTAAAAATACATCACTTGAGCGGATCAACATTGACACCCATGACTTTCCACGTGGCACGGCAAGGGCCGGGCCGGAAGTTGCGGGGTCACAAAAATAGGTGGAGCGGTGTGTTCGAGACTGGCGGGTGCCAGCGAGGGCCGGGAAGCGGAGCAGCACGTGCTCCAGGACATAAAACTCTTCTCGGCACACGGCGCAGAGCGCCGCGGGGCACCGCTTGTTCAGGCACTGTTGGCCTGCCGCGGAGGGGAGACGGCCGATTTGGTGAACGTACTGGAGCGAGCGGCCCCAGTGGCCTGCCCTCATGTGGTGCACCGAAACGGCGTCCCCCCGGTCCTCTCAGAGGATGGGGACTGCTGCGTGCTCCCGAAGAGTGGCTTGAATAGTGACTCGGGCCAGTTGCTGCACCATTGACACGAGGCCTCCCGGCGTCCCAGAAGACCCTGCTAGGAGCCGCCATCTGGACCGAACTAGCGGCCCTGGCCGGTCCGTCCCGCCGGATCCACCTGCAGTGGGTGCCGTCCCATTGCGGCGTCGACGGTAACGAGCGCGCCGACCCAGATCGCCAAGGAGGCGGCCGCGCTCCCCCAGGCGGCGGTCCCGGTGGACGTCGCTACCGCCCACCGTGCGGCCGTCAGAATGGCCCGCGACCGCACCACCGCCGTCTGGCCGGAGGGCTGGTACCGGACCCTGATGGGGAACCGGCTGCCGCTACCGGTCGCGACGGGGGACAGATCGTCGGCCGTCGACGTCCATCAACTCCGCGCGGGCCACTGGTCACGATTAGAGGTGGCAAAAGATGAAAATTTTGGGAACCAGACTCAAACCAGACCCGGCTGGACATTTCTGGAACCAGTCGGACTCGGTCTTAGTTGGAACCGGAACCAGTTGGACCCGTACCCCAAAAGTCAATTAATACAAACTACTTATAGGTGTCATTAGTTGCATCATGTAAAACAGCCTATTTCCCACTGGGAAAACTCATGAGCTACTGTGTGCAAAGAAACATTCACTTCATTCAATTCATATTTTGCAATAATGTGTAGCGTGCAAGACGCAGTCGCATAGTTTATGGTAGGGCCCGGTTGGACCCGTCAGAAAATTTCCAGGAACCGGTCTGGACCCATATGGGTCCAGACTGGTTCTTTGGACCGGGTCCTCGGGTCCACATTTTGCCACCTCTAGTCACGATCCCGCCAATACCTTCACCGGATTGGACGGAACTCTTCCGAAGATTGCCGCCAGTGCCCTACTGTGCCCTGACTGTGCGGCGGGCCGGTGCACCGTGTGCCGGGAGGAGGCCGACACGCCCCGGCACCTCTTCTTCCGGTGCCCGGCCCTCATGGGCTGGCGTCTCCGGAGGTACGTACGGGACGATTTTCCCGAGCCCGGAAGACGTCCGCGACGACGGAGAGGTGGCGGCCCTGGCGGCCGCCGTGACTCGTGAGGGACCTCCAGAGCCGCACGGCTACACCGCGGTAACGCGGCTGCAGGGAACAACAACAACAACAACAACAACAACAACAACAACAACAACAACAACAACAAGGCCGCACCATGAACCGCCCGGGTAGCGAGCGGGCGTCCGAGGGCGGGGCGACCGCTTGTTTCGCCACGTCGTTCGTGCTCTCATTCCCCTCGATCCTGCAGTGGGCAGGAGCCTGGAACCCACTGCAGGATTACTTCACGACGCTCGGCCATGTTTAACAAGGTCTTCCATGCCTATCTCCGCGCCGAGGGTGGAGGCCTCACCTGGGCGGAAGCTCCTCCCCTGAATAGACTCAGGGCGGCTCGCAAGTCGAAGCACACGACGACGGGGGACGTCCCATCCCAAACCCTCTCCAGAGCCGCCCGCAGGTGAATCTGCTGCTAGACTGACAAGCGTGGCGAAAAATTCGGTGACCGCCATTCGCCGAAAAATTCTGCGGCCGCCCTGCTCCGAAAACTTAGCGGCCGCCATGCGCTGAATTCGACGCATGCGAAGTTACGCCGGAGCTGAAATTTTCGGCGCAATCCCCGCCACCACGCCGGACATATTCGGCATCACGTGTATTGTTTTCCAGTCTGGCAACAGGAACGGAAAAATTATAGTCACTTGATGTTTCAACTGGATGAATTGCTTTGAAATGTCCAAGGAAGTGGCCCTTGAAAGCCGCTCTTCTGTAAAACTAACTGGCGCAGTTTAGAAGCTACTTGACAGTTGCCACAGTCAAGTTGATTTCAATTTTTAAACTCAAGGAAGACTTTAAGACGGTTAATAATCCCAAATTTCATTCCAAAGGTTCCACTTCATTTTAATTTTCAAATTTGCGGAATTTTAGCTCAAAATTAGGTAGGTAGATGTGGTAGGTATAGATTAATATTTGTGGTTCTCATTGCAATGTCAACCTGCAGATTTTACAGCATTAAGTGTTTCTGCCTTTTATGACACAGATGCTGGGTGAAGATGAGTAAATTCACAAAAGAGAGGAAACACTTTGACCAGAGCATGGCCATGGACATTCACCTAAGATACAAGCTTGTATTTCATACAAGGCTATTGTGCCTTTTCAGTAACAGCAGCAGGTCAGCAAACTCATCCACCAACTGTGCCCCTGCAACTGGGGCAAGCAGGGAAATGAAGTGTGACTAATGGTTGGTGACAAAGCCTATCTATTCATCTGAGTCTGTCTCAGCTGAGTCTTCATGGGTGGAAGCACTAATAGTTATGCAATGTCTGTAATTGTTATGAGGTAAAACAGTAGCTGCAATGTTGGATTACATACATAATACATACCTATGAGGCAGAATAAAAGAAATCTGCCAAGTTAAATGCAAATAATTTTATAAAAAGGTAAATATTATCAACCATGGTGATCAACCATGTGTATGAATATAGAAAATTGACAGAAGTCAAAGCAAGGTTGTCAAACAGCACAGCTGCCACATACCAAAAATACTCTATTAATTCAGATTTAAAAATGGATACACCCATAAATGATCACATTGATACATGCTTATGCAATCTCCAAATTAACATTTCCATACAATGTCCAGCAAAAATCCACAGCATAGGTACCTATCAAAATTAGGTGCCGGAGACCCCAAAAGCCTTAAAACTATCAATTGACACCACAGGCAAAATTTTAGGATTTTATAATTTATAAAACAATGTATGATTTTTCCCCTTTATCATAAAGACCACAGGCCAGCCAATGACCATGCACAACAACACAATTGGACAGTGATGAAATTTAACTATATATACCTCTGGGGAAAAAATCACATTTTCATTGCTCTAATCTACTCTGGATATTACCTTTAAAAAATTGAGCCAAGATGGTTTAGAACCCTACCAACCAGGACTTCGGAAATGGCATTCGGAATTATGTAGGAATTATGTCGGAATTATGTGTAGGTACTACACATGGCTACAGTTTATTATTTCTTGACAATAAAATGGCTAATAACATTTTCTTTTGTAATCAGATAGAGCAGCACCACTGATAGGCAATATAACATCTATATATAAAAGTAAAGGAACACTCAGTAGCTGGCAACGCTGCCGACCTGTGCTGTCTACAGTGTTTAACTTTGTGACTCTGCGTAAGAGGTTGGTAAATTGATTGATTTTCCCCAAATATTCCAAACTGACTTTGGAGCATGAGCAAGATAATGCTGTTCTTGCAACAAAACTAGATTTTAAGGATTCATAACTGTGACTGTCTTGAGCAGGCTCAGCTCAACAGCCCCTATTTGTGTACAAATATAGAACAGCATGTCAATATATTGACAGTGGTAGTCTATTTATTATTAGGAAAAGGTCATCTCATTCATTCAAGCACAGGAAAATCAAGCTTGACAAACATGGCATGCCTAAATCTAATGCTGTGGCCATGCTCTTGGGCTTAGAAAAGTGGGGCAACAATACAAAATACAAAAATACATAGCAGTATGCCATACAGCCGAATGCTTACCTTTCTATTTCCACCCATCGTTATCCACTCTCCTAGAGCACAATCCAAACGTCAACCAAACGCGACACGACTCTTCCAACACAGAAAAACGCACATGGAAATTGCCGCGAGAACTTTCTCGGCGCCGCCGATGTTGCTTACCAACGGCTTCAAGCCTTGCAACAGCTGACGATTAGTGAGAACTGACTTCTTTTCATGGACGACCAATCAGAACCGGTCTTACAAAAATGCCAACCAATCAAAATGTCGCTCTAAAAGGGCGATGCTATCGCCACGTGGTGGTGAAAAAACACACTAATCTAGGATAGCATTTTACATAGGAGTATTCTCAAGGACGAACGGGCGCGTCCATGCATTTCGGATGATTGGTATATCGCTTCATCGTCCATGATAATGCCCGAAACTGCTATTAGGAATTCATGGACAGCGAGACGTCCATGCAATCCCAGCCGTCCATGTTAATACCCTAAAAACCGCAAATTGTCCATGGGTTTACAACATTTCAAGCACTAGAAAGATCGTATCGTTGGCCGGTTTTTGACTGGCTGGCGTTTCTTGTGTAGAGCGCTCTTGGGTAAATAATTATAACGGCAGGCCCTTTTTTATGACGGGCCTCGGTCAAATTTAGTCGTTAAAAAGAAGATGGGGAAGCGTGGGCGAATATCCTATTTTTCTGCATTAAGTCTTGAATTAATAAGTTAAAAACAATAAGATCATTTAATAAAAATATTTGACCCGAAATTATGTTTTGTCTGACCATGATTGCGTGTAGGACCCCGGTGCAACCTGGTTTAACCCGGTCCAATCTGGTTCGGCTCCCTCATTTACCTTCGGGCTTAGCCTCGTAACATTGACAGACGTCAGACATCCAACCAACAACTTTGGCCGAAACACTGTCCAGCAAGCTGCGCAGGGCGATAGATGCCCGTAGCGTAGAGGGTGGGTGACCTGTGAGCGGAAATCGATGTAGTGAGTTCGAGTCTCACTCCCGGCTCTGGCTTTATCTAGACACGAACCAAAACATTTCCTTCTACTGCAACACTGACAAGCACGGTGATTTAGCTTTTCCCAGTATCCTCTCAACAACGTTAAAATTGTCGAACCTAAAGGTTTTGCTAAGTTAATCTTTAGGAAAATATTTTTGGTCATTTTCTGACCACATATTAACCCTTTTTCTTTTCTTCTCTCTTATTTTTTTATTCTTTTGGACCCGATAAAACCCACCAATGCTGAGCGTGCCAAACAATGAATAAACATGGAACTCAAAGAACAATTTAGAAAAGCCTAAGACAGCATGCAAATGTCGACTAAAAGTTTAGGTCCTAGATTTCAATTATCATTTGTTTAAGATTTTGCTGAAGTGAATGGCGTTTTTCGCTTGCCCGTTTGTTTGAGACGATTATTCCCTTCAGGTGCATTTTTTTCTGGCTGCACATGAAAAGGATACCACCATACCGGAGTGAAGGCACCCGCAACCATCATCCCTTCCCCTCAGCCGCGGCGCAGGTGGCGGGCGGCCCACTCCCGGCGCACGCACGCTCCGCCTTGCGATAGCGCGTCACTCCCCTCCCTCCTTTCCCCACAATGACCGGTGACCTCACTCCCCTCGCGATTTGGACTCGCTCCACCCCGACCGTAGCGCCACGTGATGGCTCTGGAGATCTTAAATAGACCCAGTGTACAGCCCTCAGCAGACTGCGTGGTAGGTAGGGGAGACCCGGGGGGTATGGGCCCCCTGGAGGTATGGGCCATCGCAGTTTTGAAGAAGTGTTGCGTATTTTTACACATTTGACCGCGTAAACTGGCAGCAGCTATTCCGTTATACAACCCACGTGATTTTCAAAATCCTCCTCAGTCTTCTTTGGCGATGAGCGGTGATAAAGCGTTTTTGCCCTCTTCGAGTAAAATACTGTGCATACAGAAAATTCGTGATAAATTTGAACCAGGCTCGTTTTATGATGTCAGACCAATGCTAACATAAAGTTTAAAGCATGCAAATTAAGACTGGATAGACAATTTGAAGCTTTCTTGTAAGATTATGGGCTGAGATGCTACGCAAATTCTGGCGTCCTAACCGGGAGGTTCGGGCCATCCACTCCCGTTGATCCTAAATCAATAAAAAGATGCTTTCATTGAGTGTCATCTTTAATAAGTTTTATTTTTGTCGCGCAAGGTTGAAAATTTAGCTTCAAATATCATTCGAACAGAAAAAATATCATTTATTTTATTTCATGGTGAATGATACAGTTTACCAAAATACATATGTGCCCAAGTAACCTCCATGAAGTAAGCTGTTGGCCGCTAATGCGGTTCCTGGGCTCTAAGAGAGATCAAGGTAGATACCAGCTACGAGTATTGTTCTCATTGTCGAGAAAAGAATATGAAACATGGCACCGGCCCATACCTCCCGGGCCATGGCCCATACCTCCCGGTATATTTTGATGGATCGAAAAAGCACATTATTTATTGAAAGTTATCTCGAGACAAAATAGTTGATCCCAGATGCCTAATATCAGGTACACTTTGCAGGCGAAAGGCAATTTCACGTGCACAGAGTGAAAAACCGGGTCTAGCCACTGCCCACTGGAAGAAAATGGCGTTTTCACAAAACCGGCCCATACCTCCCGGGTCTCCCCTATTCTTTTTTCGACAAAACCGGTGATAACTCAAAGGCTATGTCAGTCGGTCGGAACTCACTGCAAATAGATGCGCCATGCTCCACTTCTTCGATTAGGTCCATCACTAGACAAAGTATACGCCTTGTGTGGCAACAAAATGCAAAAGTCTGTTTTGGGGGCAAATATAAACTTTTGGATTTTGTTACCAAACTGGATAGAAAATGAACACGATGATAATGCCAATCTAACGTGCGAAGTATCGCGCGTCATACTGTTACGATTTCCGAGTGACCGATGGCATAGTATTCGCGTTATTCTCGGTTTTGTCGAAAAAAGAATACCTACCACGCAGTTTGCAGAGGGCTGTACCTTTGATGACCTCGGTTCACTTTTTCGAGTTTTACACGTTTTTAGGCTAGTTTTTTTTTTAGCTGAATTCGAATTTAGCAACCATTTGAACATTTACGAAGTAGTTTTGGTGCCTTCGTAAAATGTTACGAAGCTGTCAGAGGAGGTTGCCACCTACTACGAATACCCGGCAAAACCCTTACTGGTTGACCTGACCTGACCTGACCCGACATGATCTAAATGCATGAAGACATCATCCATGATCATAACTAACATGATATTCGTGATCAGCACCCCGAAAAACCATAGCCACCCTTTACGACGTTCTAACAGCCAACGTCCCGATTTTCCCGACTTTTGGGTCCATGACCTGACCTGGAAGGTCAGCCGATGACCTAGGACCTTAACCCTCGCCGGCACAGGGGGGTTGATGCAACCCCCCTAAGGTTTTTCGCGAATAACTCGCGTAAAAAGCGGCCGATCGCGACGAAACTTTCAGTACCCTAGCATTGATCAATTTTACACCTACCCTGAAAATTTCATCACCCTGACCCCATGACCTTTGACCTGTGACCTCTTTTCCGTGACCATGTTTGGCCGAAATCGCAATTCGGCGTATGTCGGCTCGCATTAGCCGCGCGTTTGCAAGCTTTTCGTGGTTTCAAACGTTCACATATGTGATTTGATGTTGCTCCCATACATAAGGGTGGATGTCAAGGTCACCTGAAGGTCAGGTCAGGTCATTGACCTTTGGTGACCTCGGGTGACCTCGGTTCACTTTTTCGAGTTTTTCATGTTCTAGGCTAGTTTTTTAGCTGAATTCGAATTTATAAACCATTTGAACATTTACGAAGTAGTTTTGGTGCCTTCGTAACATGTTACGAAGCTGTCAGAGGCGGTTGACACGTAATACGAATACCCGTAACAACCCCTACCGGTTGACCTGACCTGACCTGACCCGACCTGGTCTAAATGCTTAAAACACCATCTCTGATCAAAACTAACACGATATTCGTGATCAGCACCCCGGAAAACCACATAGCAGCCACAGAACAGAACAGAAAGGAACAGATTTATTTGAATAAGATCCACGATTACATGGCTTTTCACTTACTCGCGTCTGAATGGTAATACAATGGGAAGTTGGAACAGACACACGGAAATGACTACAACCATTCGCATACCATGCATACACTCGCACCAGAAACAATATCTTAAATCAGAGAGATCCAGCGAACAGCCTGGCATCTGCCCGGAAAGACAAAGTGCCAGGCTCAATGCCGCTGTCGTTCAGCAGCGACACACCGCGGTAACAGAGTCGCCGCCTGCCGGCCTCCACACGGATGGCCGGAAGGGTAAACGAGTCCGCTCGCCTGGTGTTATGATCATGCCGCTGGTGGGCTCGCTGTCCGAAGGTGTTAAGAAGAAAGTCCGGATGACCTGACTTCATCGTCCGCTCGACAAGGTATGGTAAGCCACCAACTGTTCGGCCGTGAGCCAGCCGAGGCTTGATATGGCACCCGAGATGTGATCACATCGCCTTTTCCCGGTCACGACACGTGCGCAGAAGTGCGCACACTTTACGACTTTCTAACAGGTCCCGATTTTACCGGTTTTCGGGTCATTGACCTGACCTGGAAGGTCACCCGATGACCTAGGACCTTAAAATTCGGTATCATCGGCTTCCTCTCGTCACGGGCAACACGCTTGTTTTTTTCCGTGAAGCTCTAGCTCGATCAGGGGCGAAACGGCAAGGGAGGTCCAACGCCCCCCCCCCCCTATACGTTCGCGGCTGGAAAAACACCAATACAGGGGATGGTTAAAGGCCGGCATCGGGTCTTCAGAATCCAGTGCGGGGCCCTCAGAGGCTAATATGGGCCTTTACAGGCCAGCATGGGGCCTCAGAGGTCAGTGTGGGACCCTCAAAGACCGGCATGGGCCAGCAGGGTAGCGCGCTACAAGGCCAAGTATGTATTACAAGTAGATTAAGGTCAATAAAAGCCGGATTTAGATCAAGAGGACGCGCCAAGAGTAAGCTGACCATGCCTCCTAAAAAGAGGCAGCGAGCATCACCTACCTATTCGATTTCTGGTACAAGGAGCAATCATAGTAAGTTTAACTCTGCACATTTGCAGTCTTCTTAAAATTTTAA